GGCGACACATTCCAACCCGCCCGCGCAACCGCAACCGCAGCCGCAACCAGGCGACACATCTCAACCCGCCCGCGCAACCGCAACCGCAACCAGGAGACACATGTCAACCCGGCCACGCAGCCGCAACCGCATTCGCAACCAGGCGACGCATTTCAACCCGGCCGCGCGCGCAACCGCAACCGCAACCAGGCGACACATGTCAACCCGCCTGCGCAACCACAATCGCAACCGCAATAGGGCGACACATTTCAACCCGCCCGCGCGCGCAACCGCAACCGCAACCAAGCCACACATTTCAAGCCGCCCGCGCAACCGCAACCGCAACCGCAACCAAGCCACACATTTCAACCCGCCCGCGTAACCGTAACTGCAACCACATCCAGGCGACACATTTCAACCCGCCCGCGCGCGCAACCGTAACCGCAACCAGGCGACACGTTTCAACGCAGCCGCGCAATTTCAACCTGGCCGCGCAACCGCAAACGCAACCAAGCGACACATGTCAACAGGCCCGCGCAACCGCAACCGCAACCGCAACCAGGCGACACATTCCAACCCGCCCGCGCAACCGCAACCGCAACCGCAACCAGGCGACACATGTCAACAGGCCCGCGCAACCGCAACCGGAACCGCAACCAGGCGACACACTTCAACCCGCCCTTGCGCGCAACCGCAACCGCAAACAGGCGACACATTTCAACCCAGCCGCGCATGTCCGACCCTGCCGCGAAATTGCAACCGCAACCGCAACCCAGCGACACATTCCAATTCGCCCGCGCGCACAACCGCAACCAAACGACACATTTCAACCCGCCCGCGCGCACAACCGCCACCAAACGACACATCTCAACCCGCCCGCGCAACCGCAACCGCAGCCGCAACCAAGCGACACATTGCAACCCGCCCGCGCAACCGCAACCGCAACCGCCACCAGGCGACGCATTTCAACCCGGCCGCGCGAACAAGCGCAACCGCAACCAGGCGACACATTTCAACCCGCCCGCGCAACCGCATTTGCGACCGCAATCGGGCGACACATTCCAACCCGCCCGCGCACGCAACCGCAACCGCAACCAAGCCACACATTTCAACCCGCCCTCGCGACCGCCCGCAACCGACCGACACATTTCAACCTGGCCGCGCAGACGCAACCGCAACCAGGCGATACGTTTCAGCCCAGCCGCGGGCGCGTGCAACCGCAACCGCCCGTTGCCGGCGCGTGCTCGGAGCCCCCACCGCGCGTCCGAGGCGCCGGCTCTGCAGCGTTCTCGGGCTGCGCGAGAGGGACGTGGAGGGCGAAGGAGACGCTGAGCAGGAGTAGGAGGGGGCGGAGGACCAGGAGGAAGAGGGGAGGGGGAGGAGGAGGTCGAGGAGGCCGAGGACGAGGACGAGGATTAGGGGGAGGCGGAGGAGGAGCAAGAGGAGGAGGAGGCACAAGAGGAAAACGATGGGGGGGAGGAGGGGGGCCATGAAAACGAAAAGGAGGAGCAGGAGGAGGAGGAGGAGAAGGAGAAGGAGGGGGAGGAGAAGGAGGAGGAGGAGGAGGAGGAGGAGGAGGAGGAGGAGGAGGAGAGAGAGAGAGAGAGAGAGAGAGACAGAGAGAGAGAGAGAGAGCAGGCGAAGGAGAAGGATGATGTGGTGCAGGAGCAGGGGGACGAGGAGGAGGAGGAAGAGGAGGACGATGACGAGGACGAGGAGGAGGAAAGGGAGGAGGAGCAGGAGGGCGGGCAGGGTGGCCAGGAGGAGGAGGAGGAGGAGTAGGAGGAGGAGGAGAACGATGGGTAGGGGGATGCATGGGTGCGGGTGCTTGAGGAGGTGCAGGACCAGGTGCCACCTGTGGAGGACGACCAGTGGCGCGATGGAAAGATGGGGGGACACAAACCATGAGGAGGAGGAGGAGGAGGAGGAGGAGGAGGAGGAGGAGGAGGAAGACGCAATGGAGGCGGGGGGCGCAGGAGGCGGTGGCAGCACACCAGCAGCAAACTGGGAAGGATGAGGACGAGAAGGATGGGGAGGAGTTGGAGGAGGAGGAGGAGGAGGAGGATGAGGACGTGTAGGAGGATTTGGGCATAGAGGTGGATGTCCTGCTCGCGGCGTCCAGGCATTCCCCGCGGTTCTCCGCCGTGACATTGCAGCGGGGAGTCCCCATGCCACGCTGCTGCCTTTGATTGTTTCGCGTCGTCAGATCGCACGGGTAGTTATTTGGCCTTTGGGGGCCCCTCGTCGCCACGGCCGGATGCAAGTCGGAAAATCTGTGCGTTTGGACCACAGGAATTGGTTCTGTCATGCCGTTGGCTCATCTCCCCTTGCTCCGAAGAAGGCAGCCACACGCAGCGGGGAGGCAAAGGTTCCAATACCGTTACCTGTGCCTCGTTTTCGATGTTGTGAGTTTCCTGGCAGGCATTCGTCGCCACGGCTGCACCCCAGTCAGGATGCAACCTGGGAGAGGCCTGGGGAGTAGCGGTATCGGACCGTTAGGCTTCTTGGCAGAAGGCACCCACACACAGCACCTGACGGGTGCCATTCTGGGCATGCGGCATGATGGGCTGATGTGTGCACAATGTACAACTTCCTGGGTTACGCTGCATTTTCGGGTGACGTTACTGTTTTCATGTAGCCGACCTGGGTTCGATGCGGATTTGACATGCATTCGGCGCGGATTCAATGCGAATAGCGGCGCGACGGGACAGGCGAGGCCGCCAGACGATACAACATACCCTACAGTCAAGACGCTGAAATGAGGAACAGTTTGGGTTCGGAAGGGGCTCGATGTTACTTAGGTTTCTCCAGTGCTGTTCCTCTTGCCCTCCTGGGGCACGGAGGCGCTCACAGGGCCAAGAAGGGCCTTCGTTCCTTATTTAGCCTTCCTTCTTTCAGCAGCCCGACTGCAGGTCCCACGGTGGCTCTGGCTGGGCACTGCGGTCGTGTATGTGGGTGCCCTTCTGCGCAGGTGGGTGCGCGAGTCCGCCCGGCGGGTGCGCGAGACTTCCCGGTGGGCGTGCGAGTCTCTCGCGGCCACCACGGAGCCCAGGGCAACGTTCGGGGGGATAGGCTCGGGGTTGGGAGCGCATCGACCCTCCATCGCACATGGATCGCCGGTAGTCGTGGGCCCGGGTCGTTTTTCGGTCAGAACTCGGGCCTGCAGCGGTCGTTCGGGACGATGTGGACAGCCCCGGAACGCTCTCGGCGAGGCGCAGCCGCTGGAAGGCATCCCTGGGCTGGAGAGCGTTTGAAGATTACAGGAAAGTCAAATTCGAGGTCGACGTCTCCCTTCTGAGCCGAACTAACGGCGAAGTACCACCGATTCAGGCTCGATATTTCGGCCCCTGAGCTGGTCCCCGCCTAACGCTGCCCCTCAGGAGCCCGCGTTCATCCGCAGCGAGGTCAACGGCCGCCGCAGCCGCCGAATCGTGCTGCTGGCGTTCTACTGCACCGACGTGATCGGTGCATTGCTGTGGGCGAGCTGGTGCTTTAGGCCTCCCGAATAGGGTCCGAGTAGATGGGGCCAGAGGATGGCGCCGCATCGCCGATGCATCGCCGATACGGCTCGATGTGGAGCCCGATCTGTTCCGCGCTGGCGTCGCCGATGCACCGCCGACGTCGCCGAGGCATCGCGGAGGCATCGCCGATGCAACGCTGATGCATCGGCGATGCATCGCTGTCGGTAGCCAATCATTGGAGCCTTGTTTATCCTCGCAAGTCCGTTTTTCGAGTGCATTTTGTATCTGGTAATCGATGAGAACGCGTTGATGTAACATCGTCGAGCGTCGATTTAGCGTAGATGAGCGTCGATGCGTGCCGGCGAGCGCTGATTCGCAAGAGCCAGCAAGATGGCATGGGGGGCCCCCGTGGTGCCACCGAACAAGCATCCGACGCCGTCATTGTTTTTCAACCCCTGTGCCCCTGGACCAGGCCTCGGGATGCTCTCCAGGAGCTGCGCCTCGCCGAGGGCTTTCCGGGGGTGCAGGGATCGTCCCTGAAGACCGCTGGGGAGACAAGGTATGACCCGAGAGCCAACCCCTCTCGTTGCGAAAACTCACTACGGATTTTGTTTTAGTTCGGCGATGACTCAGCTATCCCTTGGCGATGCGGCGCGATCCTCCGACCCCACCCGTTCGAACCCCATATCTGGGAGGCCTCTATAGGTGCCAGGGTCGGACATTCTCGCCGCCCGGGCCTCACAGCGAGGGGTTCAGCTCCGCAGGAGGCACCCTGCACTCCGCCGCCTTTGCGGGCTGTGCAAAGAATCCTGCCAGGAGTTGTTTTTGCAATGAGGGCGTTTTTCTTTAGACCCAGGCAAGTTGACCTGCAAGACGTCTCCCCCTTCCCCTCTCTGCCGCCTTTCAAAAAAAATATTCTGGGCCGGAAAAAGGTTTGACAGTGTGCCCCGTCTTGCGCGAAGTTCAGGTTCTCTTTCGGGCCTCGCCTCGCCCACCTCTGTGCAAGTAAACTTGCCAGACTCGAAAGAAAAATTGCCTCAATGTTCGATCTCTGGGGGCCCTCGCTGGGCCCCAGGACCGTCAAACATCGGCGCGGGATGAAGCATTGGTCCCAGGGGGGGGAAGGTCGATGCTGCGAAAAATCACGACGTCGCAGATCTGGGCGCCGCCGTGACTGGGCCTTCAGCATGGTATGTAAGCCCCCCTGGCCGAGGGCGAGGAGGGCACACCAGCCCAGGATGGGCCCTTCCTAAGATTCGACGTTAAGAGCGAGGTTACGTCGCACACGATTAAGACCTGCGCCCTAGACCCCGTCGTCATGTTCCATCTGTCGAGCTGGATCAATATGTGAGGATTTCAGGGCACGATGCCAGGCGAAAACGCCCGGCTCGATACGAAAAACGATACGCCAGGATCTCAGGGCTGGCAGGGTACGCTTGGATGTGCGGATGCCTCCTGCGGATCGGCGACGAGTACGATACCGCCCACGCTTGCAGGAGCTTCGGGGTCAACCACTTCGCCGTGTTCGCCGCGAGCCTCCCCGTCGAAGGCGCGATCCTGATGGGGGCGGGGAGCAACCCGTGGTCCATCTGGTCGGACGGCCTGCTGCTCCCGGTGCTCGGGAGGGGTGGAGGGGGTCATCGATGGAGGAGAAGCGGAGTATACACAAACTTTGGGAGGTCCACGCGGGTCCCTGGGGTCGTCGCTGTGCCCCCCCTGGCGGCGCCTCTGGCGCCGCCCAAACCGTGCGTGTTACTAATTCGCCTCGTGCGCGGAAGCTTGGTTGTCTTCCAAAAGCAAGACGCCGGTGGGGTCGTCGGGCTCACGTGGCACTGATACCGGTTTTGTTGTGCTTGCTCTCCGAGGTGTGGTTCATCCGCCTGATCCTCTTCGACGTGCTGCTCTGGGACGTGTCACCGCCAGTGCTGGTGGGCGACGCGCTGTGGTTTTCTGTCATGGCTGTGATGTGCCGTGTCCACTCGCTGGCGCTTGCTGCTCTGGTGGCCTGCCAGGTCGGCTCCCTGTTTTTGATTTTCGGGATGAAGGGCCTCTTCAGCTTCGACGACTTCAGCACGGTCCGATTCGGCATGTACAGCGTGACCATGCTGGTCATCGTGGCGTGTGCGTACTTCCTCGACGAGCAGAGTCGCCTGCAGTCCTTCGGCCAGCTGACGTCCCTGGAGGACAGGAACGCCAGGCTCGCCGACCAGCTGCTCCGGTGGAAGTTCATCCCCAGCCCAGGCAGCCAGACGCTGCACGGGCACGGGAACTGCGGCTCCGTCGACGACGACGCCTCTCGCAGGGGCTCCTCCCAGAGCTCGGCGCGCAGCATCCTGAGGCGCGGGGGCGCCGGCGCGGCGGGTCAGGTGGGCCTGGAGAGGGCCGGCCTCAGCGTGCGCTTCAGGACGCCGGGGCCAGACCCGAGCACGCTGGTGCAGACCAGCCGGCCGCGCAGCGGCAGCTTCCTGGTGAGGGAGCAGGCGACGCCCCTGAACCTGCACGACGTCATGGAGTGAGGAGTGCTGTGCCGACGTGTCAGAGGCGACAAGCAGGGGCGAATAATAGCCCAGGGAGGAGCCATCCACGTATATCCAGGGGCGCCGGGGGTCCCTGTCTATTCGGCCAAGTTCCCGGGCGAACACGTGTAATGCCCACCCCCGGGCTAACTTCCCCCTTTTCGTCGCCCCCAAACGTGGTGCGTCGCTCGCTGCTGTCGCGTCGGGCGAACTTTTTTACACCCTCGCTTACGGTAGGTTCGTGCCGTGTCGACCGGCGGCGACCCCGCCAGCGGCGTTCAACTTTGAACGCCGGCGGCGGCCCAGAATCGATCGATGTTGAACGATTGGACGTTGCGGAAACGGCCGATCGTTCAAGGTTGAACGATCCCCGCGGTGTCAGAAACCAACGCCCGGGTCGGCACGACACGAACCTGCCGTACTCGCCTGCCTGGCTCAGCCCGTTTTGTGCACCCTCCGGCTGATGCCGAGGGAGTGTCGGCGGCGCGCCCAGGGGCGAAGGCACAGGGGGCAGGCCCTCTCAGGAGCGGGGCTGGACCCAAACGGTGTTTTTGGTGATTTCGTGGGCCGTTTTCGTGTTGGCCTCGTTTTGCGGTGAAGGCGGATTCGAGGAAAAAGCGAAGGAAAACGAGAACAACATGAGAACGAAAAACACCGTTTGGGTTCAGCCCTGCTCAGAAGTCTCAGAAGAGATCTGCCTCCCGAGAAGCTTTCGAAGCCTCTTCCGAAGACGCACAGGGCTTCTCGGAAGGCCAGTTTTCTGAAAAGCTTCGCCGCCTTCCGAGAATCTCTGCCCCTCCTCAGTTTTTCCCCTCGACGCGCCGCCGAGTTGTGCATCCACAGGCCGACGCTGAGGGAGTGAGGTCATGTCGCAGACGGCTTGCTACCTCCTCTTCTTGGGAGGAGGAGGAGGAGGAGGAGGAGGAGGAGGAGGAGGGGTTGGAGGATTGCGAGGGAGGATGAGTGGTCACACGTATCCATATCCACGCCCCCATGGTCTTAATTTTTGGGCGCGATCCCATGGATGTGCGGTCGCATGGATACTTTTTGCACGGGGCATCCGCGAGCAAGAACACCACATCTCAACGGGGGCGCGACCCAGGGGCTTGGCCAGCGAGGCTGTGCATACGGATAGGGGTCGGTAGTGTGGGGAGCTTGAGCACAAACTTCTCGTTGGGCGGACCTTCTTATTTTTGCCGTGCGTGTGTAGTTGCATACGTGCATCGCCTCGCAGCGTGCACCTCCAACGAGGTCATCAGACTGACCAGCCTGGGGTGAGCTTCAGGGCATGGCGCCGTCGTCGTCGTCGTCGTCCTCGTCCTCGTCCTCGTCCTCATCCTCGTCCTCATCCTCGTCCTCGTCCTCGTCGTTGTCGTCGTCGTCGCCGTCGCCGTCGCCGTCATCATTGGGGGGACACATCTCCGCTATATGCGTTCCTGCCACGAAATGGCAGGAGAGGACGGCGAGGAAGAGAGGCATAGGTGAGGATGGAAAAAGACGTACAGAGTCAGAGAGGGCGGGAGGGAGGGAGGGAGGGAGGGAGAGAGAGAGAGAGAGAGAAACGGAGATCAACAAATATAGATCTAGAGAAAGAGTTAGAGAGAGAGAGAAAGACAAGACACAAGGGGAACAATAAAGAGGGAGAAAGAGCGAGAGAGAGAGAGAGAGGATGAAAGAGGAGGTGGTGAATGACGAGGGAGCAGAGGGAGACGGGGGACGGTGAGGAGGAGGAGGGGGAGGCACCGGACGACGAGGAGGAGAAGGAGCGAGCATGAGGGACGATGAGAGGGAGGATATCGAGGAATAGGACGCAGGATGATGATGAGGAGGAGGAGGAGGAGGAGGAGAGTGTAAACCCAAGAGTCTTCAACGATGTTGGAGTAAACCCTCCCTCCAAGCTCCCTCTTCACAGGCCCCTACAACGGTTCATTCCCACAGAGGAAACTGCCTCGTTGGAAGACAACCGTTTGAAGAGCCTGAAGCTTGCCAAAACGTTGTTCTCGGGATTCCAACCCCGCGGATCAACCTGACTGTGGCGTCTTGACGATCCTGAATCGCACCAGAACGCCATTCCTGGGACTTCAACACCGCAAATCAACGTAACTGTTGCACCCTCATAATCCACAATCCTTCCAAGACAACATTCCTGATACGTTGATCATGGGCCGCTCTGCCCGGCCGTTAGGAGGAGGAGGAGGAGAAGGAGGAGGAGGAGGAGGAGGAGGAGCGGGAGGAGGAGGAGGAGGAAAAGGAGGAGGAGGAGGAGGACGAGGAGAGGAGGAGGGAGGAGGAGGAGAAGGAGGAGGAGGAGGAGGAGGAAGGAGGAGGAGCGGAGGGAATCCGACCGACGGACCCGATGGCGCGAGGATTTCAGGCCCGAGGCCCGAGGTCCTGGGCAGGGGGATGGGGGAGTGAAAGGACGAGGAGGGGCGAGGGGGGGGAGGGCGAAGGGCGACAGTGCGGGGAGGGGGAGGGGGGGGGGCGGGCGGGAGGGGGGGGGGGGGGGGGAACGCCGCCAGAGGGATCGCGAGTAGGCGACGCGGCGAGGAGGATCATCGGGGGAGGGGGGAGGGGAGGAGGAGGAGGAGGAGGAGGAGGAGGAGGAGGAGGAGGAGGAGGAGGAGGAGGAGGAAGAAAAGGAGGAGGAGGAGGAGGAGGAGGGAGAAGGGAGGAGGAGAAGGAGGAGGACGGAAGAGGACGGAGGAGGAGGAGGAGGAAGACGGAGGAGGACGGAAGAGGAGGGAAAAGAGGCGGATTGCCTCTCTTTCCGTTGCCCCAATCGTCGGGTTGACTATCCACCTGCGTCGCGTTGTCCCCCTGGGAGGGTCTTCGCTTGCTCGCGGAACGATGTGGCGGTGATTCCCCATGGGCAAAGTCCAATAGGTATCGGCAAGCTACACCCCGAAACCACGCGTGATATTCTAAGTGCTTCCGCCGTTCCGCCGACCCCCGCCAACTTTCCAGGGCTACGATGCGCATTTGCAATGGTCCCGCCGACGGCCCAACAGTCAGCCATGACCCTGGACTGCCGCTCCCAAGAACAAAACGCCCCCCCCCTCCCCCGCGCGAGGCGCCAAAGCATGCAGTGACGGGACGGAACCGAAACCGAATATCGAACAACGCCAAAGAATTGCACGCGCATGGTTTTTTTTTTCACATCGTCTCTGTATGTTGGATGGCTGCTTGCAGACTGCGACAGGCTGGACGCGCTTGGCATCATTAGCGTTAGAGCTCCGCGCGCGGCGTATTTCCCACGGAAGATGTAAACCTGCCGTTCTTTGCGTCGGCTGCGCGCGCGTTCGCGATCTAGGCCGCCGACGTGTATGTTGACGAGCATGGCTCCTGCGTGTGAGTCAGGGGCAAAGTTGCTTATTCTCGCGCGAGGGGTGCGTTTTGAAACGTTGCGACCGCGGTTTTGAGCCCAAGGCGGAGCGCCTCGCCGCCGCGCAAGTGGGCGCTCGGGGTCAAAAAGCGATGTGCCTTTTTGAAACGCGGTTAGCTGTCATGTGTCATGGCCACACGCCCATGATTGTTTTATTAAGGAAAACGTTTTGTTGATAATCGTTTTCATAATCTCCCCTTCGGGTTGGCGGGCGCTGCCCTGGACGTTAGATACTGCCGTACAGGTCGAACGCCGAGATTCACTAGTCATCTATACGGAAAGAACAGAGGCATACACATATATATATATATATATATATATATATACATACATACATATATGATGACGAGCAGTGAGGTGAGGAGGACAGAGACGGAGGATTGAGGAGGAGGAGGAGGAGGAGGAAAAGGAGGGGCATGAGGACAACCAGGATGAGGAGGACCCGACCGCCGCCCGCCGAGACAGCGGGGCATTTTGCGGGCGGTTCCCCAGGTCTTCTCCCTGGTGGCCTCTGCGGGCATGCCCGAGTGGTCACAAAGGCTCGGCGGTCGTCACCGCCGTCGCCGCCGCCGCGGCCGTCGTCGTTCTCGTCCTGTTCCCTTCCTTCTCGTTCTTCTCGTTCTTGTCCGCCTGCTCCTGTTCCTCCTCTGGCTGCTGCTTGTCGCCCCCTGCCACTCCTCCCTCCTGCCTCTCTTGCTCTTGCCCCCCCCCGCCCCCCTTCAACCTCCCCCCTCCTGCTTCTCCCCCACTCCTCCTCCTCCTTCCCTCGGCCCCTCCTCCCGCCCTCCCGCTGCCCCTTCGTCCTTCTTTTCTTCTCCCGCTCTCGCTGACGGACGTTGCCCGTGCGTCCCTTCAGGAGACCGCATTCGGCTCTGGGGGCCTGCGAATGCCGGGTGCGTCAGCAGGCCCCCAGGTGTCGGACACACGGGGACGGGAGGAGGAAGCCAGCGGGTCCGGACAAAGACAGCTCCTCCCACTCCCTCCTCCACCACCCTCCGTTCTTCCCACTACTCCCCTCTCAGTGGCTGCTTGCGCTCCTGCCCCTTCTGCCCGTCCTTCCTCTTTTCTTCCCCTCCTCCTGCCCACGCGCTTTCGACGACTTCCGCCATTACCTCACGTGCCCCTGCCTGGACGGTCTCCGCGTTCCGCCTCGACCCCGACCCCCGCCGGCCCGATCCAACGTTGGGCCCTCGGCACCTTCTAAGCTCATGGCCTTTCACCTGCAGAACAAGGCCACGAAGGGCGAAGAGCGCCGCCATTGTTCGGGCGTCTTAGGCCGCGGTCTTCACATGCCAAGAGTGAACAGTTTGCGGTTGTCCTTTCCATTCAACGTATGTGCGTCCTATCCCCGTCCTTTCCTTCCCCCCTCCACCTCCCCCTCAATCAGGTTCCCGGAGAGTCTTCCGGGAATGTGTTCTGTCATGTCGCGTAGCAGTGTAAATGTTTGCCCTTCCTCGGCTCGTAATTACGACGGTGCACGCGGTGTTATGCCATTGTGCGTAATACCGAGTTCGCCAGTGGCAGGTTGATCACATGTTAGCATTCGTACCTTGCTCTTCCCATGATCTTTTATGGTCGGTTGCCCACGCAGCTCGTGACCGAGCTCGTTTGTCGAGGT